AAGCATTGGCATCAAAGAAGTCCTGCAGGACTCTGAGTTGGTAGTCAGTAAAGCGTGTCCGAGAGGACCGTTTGCTTCCCCAGTACTCCTGCTTTTGAGGCTCTGGAGAAGGAGGTCGTGAGTCTATCTTCAGCTCTTCCAGGCTGGTAATGGGAGGGTTGCTGAAGTTATACGGGGAGTCCTTGTTGCGCTGGCGCTCCTTGAACAGGGTGTTTCTGAACCAGTGCTTGATCACTTTCTGGGGCAATCCAGACTTGTCTGCCATCTCTTTGATCTGTTCCTCACTTGGGGAATTATTAATGTCAAAATACTGCCGAAGGACTCTGAGCTGGTCGTCGGTGATCCGCGTGCGTGGCCTCTTGTTCTGCTGCTGCTGGAGAAGGCTGGGGTTAAGCTGATGCTGGTACAGCTGGGCCAAGTCGGCAGGAAGGGGGTCCACAGGGCCCAGCTGGGGTGGCAGCTGCGCCGGTAACGTCTGCAGGGGCATGGTTTGCATCATGAGTGGTGAGAAGATGGGGAGCTCCATGGGCATGGAGAGCTGGGTGAGTGGCACAGACGGCTGGGCTGGTGCAATCGTGGGAGAGGTAATTGGTGGGACAGAAGTGGGGATGGCTGGAGCAGCGGCCGGCTGAGGAGGAGCCGGAGGGAGCGGAGGAGGGGGTGGCGGAGGCGGTGGTGGTGGCTCGGGGGTCTGAGGCCGCAGTGGGTACAGTTTGTCGTAGTGTTCTCTGTACTGTTTGGCGAATCTCTCTAACTGCTTAAAGGGAAAGTAATGTTGGTGAACGTGCTCTTGGTGGCTCTTCAGGATGAGGATGTTTGAGAAGAGCTTGCCGCATGTATCACACTCCAGCTTTTCCAAGTTCTCACCTTGCTCTGTCTTCCCGTTCTTTTTCTGCACCTTCTGCTTGTTCTCATTGTACTGAATGACGAGCTCGAAGCCAAAGTTTTCCAGCAAGGCTTTGGTGGCGTTGCCCCTCGCGTCAGAGGCGATCCGTGGAGGCAGTATGGAGGGCTCCGAACCGCTGCCTGGCACAAAGTCCTTCTTCTCTTTGGGCTTTAGGTTATCAGGCAGAGACTCCTTCGATGTTACATTATTGTCTCCCCTCTCAGCGCTATCCCTTTCTCGTGTGGTTTCTTTATCTTTCTCCTTCACTATGGATTTATTCTTCTTCTCCGGGTGCTGGCTCTGCTGCAACAGGACGGAGTGGGGTTGTGACAAGGACAGCTGACCTTGCTGCTGCTGCAAGAGCTGTGGATGGCTCTGCTGAGGGAGCTGAACTTGTGCCTTCAGGTCCTCCAGCAAACTTGGACCCGTCCCAGTCAATGTCAGCGCGCCACTGGTGACAGGCAAGCTGACTTCTGGATTGAGCTGGAACTCGGCACTGGGGATGTAGAATGGGAACAGAAGATGCTGCTGCTGCTGCAGCTGCAGAAGGGTCTCAGTGGTCATTGGAAAGTGCGGCAAAAGTGCTGGGTTGAAGAGCTGGGACTGCAGGAGAGCAGCTTGCTGCTGCAGCTCCTGCTGCAGGTGGGCCTGGACCTGGGCCTGGGCCGGTGCCAGGGTCTGAGCTTGCTGCTGCTGCTGCTGCTGCTGCTGCTGCTGTTGCTGCTGCTGCCTGGATGCAATCATGTCTGCCAACTTCTTGCGGTTCACCTCTTTGGGCTCTGAGGGGGAGGAGATGTTAGTGCTTACAGGGTTGCCCAAGGGCGGAATTCCCACGCTGTCATTGGACACCTGGTTGAGCAGGCTGGGAATGGGAGTGGTGCCCGAAGTGCTTGTGTTGGTGGTTACAAAAGCGTTGCTGTTGCTGGCACTTACAGGGCTCGGCGTGGATGAGCCCAAGGAGAGGCTGCTGCTGCTGCTGTTGCCAGCCCCGTTACTGCTGCCGCCTGCTGCCTCCAGCTTGGCTGCGCGAGCCTTGGTCTGGTGCAGGACAGACCTCATGTGGATCTCCAGTGTTGAGCTCTGGCTGTAGGCCACATTGCAGGTGTTACACTTGAAAGGTTTGTTGTCTGGGCTGCTGGTGGGCTCAGGCTGCCCAGTAGCAGACTCTTGGAGGGCTCGTTTCAGTTTATGCAGATGAGAAACGGAATTGTAATGGACCAGGAGAATGTTCTTCTGTGTGAAGGACTCCTTGCAGACTGTGCACTTGTATGGACGAGATGGATCTAGGAATTTCTCCATAGTGAAGTTAGGGCCTTTCCTGAAGGGTAAGGCCCTTTTTGGTTCTGAGCCGGAGTCCTCCTGCACTGACCCCGAATCGCTGCCTGTTGGGCTCTGCTTGTCTTCCAGGTCACTCTCCTCCTCCTTATCTTCCTCGACTATTATTGTGTGGTCCTCTGCAAGCGAAGGATCGCCCATGGCAAGGAGGTCCCCGTTGACCAAGAGACCACCATACAGCTGCTGAATGTCGGCCTCGCTCAGCTCCAGGTGGCTGGTTTCCAGGTGCTTCTTCAGGGCCTGGAAGGTGCGGAAGCTGCGCTGGCACAGGCAGCACATGGTGGCCGCCCGGATGACGTGGTACTGGGAATGGAGCTGCAGCTTCTCAATGGTTTTGAAGGCCAGGCTGCACTGGTTGCAGCGGTACTTGTACACGTGGCGATCAGAGACCGGCAGCTGAGGCCGCTTGGCGTGGACGTCATTGAAGTGAGTCTGCAGGGCTGCCGAGCTCTTGAACACCTGGCTGCAGCCCTTCTTCCAGCACAGGAAGCCAGAGTCCTCCCGGGCAGCGCCTGGATCGGCCGGGGTGGGCTTGGTGTCCCCACTGTGCTCTGCACTGTCTGATGGCAAAAGACTCTTCCCCGCGTCCTCAGAGATCTCTGTGGAAACAGAATCACAGCAAATCCAAAAATTAGACCAGCACACCAGGGCAGATCAACACCCTCTTTCAGCCCTGATGACGTCCGTGGTTTTCTCTCGGCAAGACAATGAGTATTTCTAACATTTCTCCTCTATCTTCATTCATTTATTTCAATACCAGCCCATTACCCTCATCATGGCCCATTGCATAAACCTACACAATTTACTTCCTTGCCCACTTTGAATATCTGGAAATGATTCACACACGTCCCTTAGTGCATTTATCACCTTCAATTCTCCCTTTCAAGCGAAGGTCATTCAGTCACCTCTGTCTTTACTGGCCCTCTGTGATGTCCTTTCTATTTTCCAAAAAGAAGGTTGATCAAACTCATTGCAGTATTTGAGTCTTGGTCCTACCAAAGCTAGGATCAACGGGAGTGAAACTGGTCCCTAAGGAGGTGATGGAGCTGGGGGAGTGGTGGGACCACGGATCTCATTGACCTGCACTCACCAGGCTGCTTCCCCAGCTCCTCTGTGCCTGAGTTCCCATCCTTCTCCGGAGCGGCTGCCGGGAGGAACATGCTGCTGGGCATCATCACCTCAGGGGTTGTCACCTGGAGACAGGGGGAGAGGACGTGGGGAGAAGAAAAACACAGGAAAATATTTTAAACATCTTCAGTGGCAAAATTAGACATCGGTATTGTGAAGTCAGAGGCGTCACTTTTCACAGCTCACTGAAGACTCGTATTTATTAGACAAAGCTCACATCAGTCAAAAGTGTTTCTACAGTTACATTCTGGACATAATTAGCAGTGCACACTTGAAGAATAATCTTATTATTAATATTTTTCCTTTATGTAGAATTCAGACTTTGATCACTGACAATGTTTTGTCATGGGCTGTGAAACTTCTTGTGCAACCAATTAGGTAGATAAGTTGAAAGGCCCACCTTAAGCTGCTGAAAACATAATAAGGCCCCTAATTAAATCATACCTCGTAAAGTACACTGTAATCTTGAACCAGGGAGCATTGCAGCACTGTTTTCAAAGTGTATCGATGCAGGGAAAGGAGGGGCATGAGAAAGAAAAGTACAAATAAGGAGAGGTGACAAAGGAAAGGATGAATAAGGAAGGACTAGAAAGAAAGCAAACTGCAAAATGAAAAGCTTTCGGTAACCCTTTCCTTGCTCTGACCGATGTGCTCCCTTCGCCCCTCTGCAAGTGTTTGGTTAGACCCTGCACCAGCAAAACCAGTGCAGTGCTGGGACACCAACTCCTCTACAGAGGTGGAGAGTCTCTGTGGCTCAGCTGGGGAGGCTCTTTGCAAGAGCCAAATGCACACACTCATTCCATCCTGTAAAACTATTTCTTTGGGTGTACCTGGTCACACACAGACAGACAAACCACCTTGCCAGCAGCCACACATGGCTGGCATCAGATGCAGGATAATGAATGCCCTTCTGAATGTCCAGAGCCCACGCCTCGCACTGCTGGAATGCTGCCTCAGAGCACCTGGACAGACAGACCTGTGCCACCATCACCAGCACAGTGCTCCCAGTGCTGGTCAATGCCTGTGGCAAGCAAAGCCTCGAGCAGCTGCTGATGCCACCCCACTGCCACCCAGGGAGCATTCCCCTTTTACCAGGTACTGATGGTGATTCCTGCATTGCTCCTGCTCCCAGCCTGCCACTGCTGGGAAGGTGAGGCATGATTCAACACTCCTGGACAAAACAAGCCTCTCCATCCTTCTGTCAGGTACAGAGAAGGCATCTGAACCCCGGCGACAGTGAGTGCATGCAGTGGCTGCGTGTCATGTCCTCGGCTTTCTGAACAGCCAAGGACCATGAGGCTCCAGCTCAACTGCAGGAGATAGGAGCACACCTGTGACGAAGCCGAAGCCTATGGAAAACCTCAGGATGAAAGGGTGGCATGGGAGTGGCTGCAGAGTCTTGACCTGAGCCCGGGAGGGACATGGAGCTCCCTCCTGTTCCTGGGACGGCTGGTGCATGGAGCTGAGCACTGGGTCCTGTGGATGCCGGCAGGGCAGGCAGCTGACACATCCCAGGAGGGCAGCTGAGCACACCAAACTCATTCCAGCTTTTCCTCTAAGCAGGAGTGTCTGATAGCTGCGGGTGGTGGGCTGGGAGACGTGAAAGGTCACTGGTTAATTCCCAGTAGCCAGGCTCAGAGGAGGGGGACGAGCAGGGAGGCCGAGGAGGGGAGGTAGGAAGAAGCCATCCCTCTCAGCTCTAGCAGCAGGGAGAGCGCTTTCCTAGGATCTTTAGGAATTACGAAAAATAAATCATGAGAAATTAAAAAAAACCCCAACAGAGTAGAAAAAGAATAAAATTATCTAACACCTCAGCTGCACATCATTATAGAGCTGTGGCTTTTCATAGGCGTTACAGTACGGCAGCCGTCCCCACCACCACGCTCAGTACGACGGATCAGTAATTGTTTTCATACACTTTAATTAGAAAAACTCAGATGGCTATGAATAATAATGGAAAAGAGAGACTTTTGCACTTGAAAGGTTGAAGTCAATCAAGTGTGAATGACGGCAAAAAAGAAAAAAAAAAGACACCAATTCATCAGGCCTCTGTTGTCTCGCCGCGTCTTTAATCATAATTCCTGATTGGGATTCAAGAAGGCAGTAAGCAGCGGTTCTTTGTCTGCCTTCACCTTCCGTCAATTAACTCTCCCCGAAATATAATCATCAACCTCACATGCTCCTCTGCATCTTAATCTGGGGCTCCAAACCACTAAGTCCTGCCCTATATGTGTTTAAGTAATTACCTTTATCTACCTGCATCTCCACAGCCACCGTTCCTTCCCTTCCTTCCACCCTCCCTCGACCACAGGAAAAAAAAACGGAAAAAAAAAAAGGTGGGAAGAAAAAAAAGAGGCTGTGGTACATTAAATTGCTACAGGCACGAAATCCCCAAAGACAAACAGAAAAAAGCTTGGAGAAAAGTCCAGGCAACTAGAAATTCTGGGTATAGATGTGGGGAACTGCAACAGTGCAGCCACAAGGGCTGGCCCTGGGGAGCAAACTCCTGGAAACGAGGAACTGCTCAGCAGCTGGACCCATTCTAGTTCCCTAGCTCCATCCAGGCTGCTCCTTCCCCTTACCTATGCCATTCTCCAGGGCAGGACCCTCCATCCCTTCATCTCCATGGACCAGCCCCAAGCAGGTGGCAAAGACACAAGCAGTGCAAATGGGCTGCACATCCCAAATTATCCTGCACTGACATGGAATTCCAGACTGACAGTTTTGAAGGGTTTGTCCTTACACACTGCAAACCTGTCTGAGGACATCCCATTTCCTTGGACCTGCAGAGCTTGCCTCACAGTCTGTGGCTGTTTCTTGTATCAACAGAGAGTGGGGGCACGGCAGGGCAGGAAGGTGCAGTAGGCCACGGCCCCAGGCAAGTAAGGAAGGAGCAGTGCTCTGTGACATGGCATTTTGTACTGCAGATGTATTTCATAGCATTAACTGTTCCAGTGAGCGAGAGGAGCATGTTTATCTGGAGCACAGCCCGTGTTAGCGCATGTGGCTGTCAAACACTCTCCACCTCCCTCTCACCTGCGCAGGCGATACCTGGCGTGTCATCCTAGCATCCCTCCTCAGCTCAGCATCCCTCCCCCTCCTCGATTCCTGTCTCCCTGTTTAAATGTCTCCTCAACACCAACTGTCTCACAACAGCAACATGTCAGTCAGTGTGAGCCGTTACCAAAACACAACCCTACAGCTGTGAGTTCAACAAATGTGGTTTGTCTCCTCCTTTCCCTTCTCCTGCACATACCTGTTCTGCTCTGTCTAACATCAAACTGCACCTGTTGGTGGGCTACAGCCACCATCTCCTGACCCACAAGCCACCAGCAAACCCCCTTCCAGCATGGGACCCCTGAGTCAGTTACCCTGGATCCAACCCTGTGCACAGCCCAAGTACACTGTTCCCCATGGCTCTGATGGCCAAGGTCCCTTGCAGTTCTCCCACTGTTACTACACAGAAGGTCCTTAGAGGGTAGGAAGGCATTGGACAAGCCTCTCTCCCTCCAAGGACCCTCCCTTTGGGGTGAAATTCAGACTCCTTCAGCAGAAAACATTTCTCTACAATGATCACATCCAGACAGCCAGAGGCACCCCACTTTCGCAGCCCTTTCTATGGATGAAGTGGTCCAGTGAGGACTGTTACAGGGAACCCGAGGGCTGACAGGCCATGTCTCCCGCCTCCCTGCCCCACCAGTATCCTCAGCAGATCACACAGACCCTGACACCTAAGGACCTGTCACTGCTCTGGAGAACAAGCAGCGAGCTGGGCCCACTCCTCACCGGTGACAGCCTCCAGCAGTGACAAGCATGGCTCCTGCCACCACTGGATCTACGGGATTTTTAACGACCGACTGCAGAGCTGCTCGTCGGCAGGGCCGGCGGTTCAGAGCCCAACACCCACCAATATGACACCCAAATATTGCTGGCATGTCCGAAAAATGGCCATGAGCAGCCACATCCCCTCACACTGCATCTGCCTGCACTGGCTGTCCTTGGACTGAGGCACCAAACGCAGGGATGGGTCCTCCAAAAATGCCCCATAATGCTGAAATCATGTGGCTCTGAAAAGAAAACCTCTAGAAGGGGTCTGAGGAGATACATCACTGTCCCCATGTCCATGCAACCGGGGGAAATACAGACAGGAGGCAAGGTTCCCCACCAGACAAAGGAGGTAATTTCCATTACAAAGAGAGAGAGAGGGTGCTGGAGTGAAAAGCTTCATTAGACTCGGAGAGGCAAAGCGATGGCAGTATACCAAGGTCACTTCTAATTTAGACCATCTAATTGGCAAACATGGCTCCAAATGGCTATCATCTCACAGGGCTCAGAATTAATGAAGCCCGATTATTTTCATTACCTTCATCCGAGATGGAGAATGAGACACAGAGTGAGAGGGAAAGGGGGGAGAGAGAGGGGGCGAGAAGGAGGGAGAGAGAAAAATTGAATGACAGCAGAAGGGAGAGAGCAATAAGAAAAGACAATGGGAAAGAGGGAAAAAATGTAAAGATAGTAAGAGGGGGAAGTGAGGATGGCAGGGGCGGGCAGGAATGACTCCCGGAGCCAGGGAGAAAAGACAAAGATGGAAAGAAGGCTGGAACACTGGGAAGACGCCCTAAACCGAGGAAGAGAAAGCTGACAGCAGAGCTGCCGGGAGAGGAATGTGCAGAAGGATAAAGCTGTGGGAGGAGGGAGAGCTCACGCTCCCAGAGGCTCTCGGGAAGCTGTCCTCTTGCCCAGCTCCAGCCCATCAGTCTTGTCAGTCGCCTGCGCGGGCGAACTGCACTTCACCTCATTAGGGCCCTGCGTGCCGAGCAGGCCCCGGCCGGAACATGGCGCCCGCCCCGCTCAGAGCGCCC